TATTTCATTAATAGTAATTTAATAATTTCAATAAAACATAAAACCCCTGCTATAAAACCAAGAAAAAACAGTTCGGAATTTAGAAGCTCACCCTTTCGAACAGATTCGTACTTAAACAGATATTCTCCATATGAAGGGAGATACTCAGTGTTAGTCAACATAATTTTTCATAAATTCATTGCATAATGTTCATTAAGGAGATGGATTAAATAGAAAGACTGAAAACAATTAGTATCTCAATATACCTGCAAATGAAATTAACAAGTCTATGATCTCCAATATATAGCCAATTCATTTCTAATCGTTGTATACTTTTACAAGAGATTACCTGTTTTGACTAAGAGAAATATTATCAATGTTAGATTACTTAATTAAGTGCGAGAATTGAATACACCAAAAGAAAAGTGACTATTACAATTGCCCCACCAAGAGTAAATTCTGGACTCGTCCATAACCTGAGATTCGACCTTTCTGTTCTCTTGATGGGGTCAACCTCCTCGGATAATGGATAATTTGATTGCCTGGGATTCCAACTTACATATTTGTTTGGGGAGAACCGTGAGAAGAAAGACTTTTTGCCTTGTTTCCTGAAGTTTGACCAGGCCTTATCCCAGTCTGTTGTGGATTTATCGCCTGAGATAAAAATAGTTGCAAGCAAATTAGCCTGCTGGTTCAGGAAGCAGTCTAATAGCAACATTATGAAGCTAAATCATGGGAGGTGGTTGAAAAACAATAAACCATAATTGTTCAAGAGGATGAACTATGGACTTCTAAGTTTTACAGTCAGAAGAATAGGTTTATGTCAAAGTGTGAACTTTCTTTCCCTAGCATGCAAAAGAATTGATCTATGCATTATACAGGCATAGACTTATTATGCAAATAAGCCTAAGATTAAGCTTTATATGTAACTGTAGATGCAAGTGTCAAGCATGTATCACAGTTACATACTAAATTTACACCCACATAAACAAAAAGATAAGGTAAAACTAAATAGGGGAACTCATAATTGCCATAAGGTTTAGACTTTAGAAGAAGGGGAGGCATCTACACTACAGGATACTAGCAAAGTTTTGCTTCTTGTTTGGCATTGTTTGGCAATTTCCCATTAAGGCAATGCACACAACCAAAGGTGTTACCGAAAGGAATCCTCTTTAGTGTTCCCCACCTCCATGTCACCTGATTTCACACGCAATTGCACATGTGACAGCAAGTTCCTTTGTCCCTCCTCCTTCCTCCTCCCTAATCTTGAATGCACTGTCAGATCTGAAATACAGTAATGAAGGAAAATCTTCATAACATTCCCCTAATTCCCCACTCTTTGCCAGCAAACTGCCAACTAAGACCATCTAAAACCCAATTCACCTACCAAAGCAATTGAATCAGGGTTCCTTTTCCCTCTTCCCCAGCCCCATTACTTCCATTTCAGGCAATTAAACACGAACCATCGTAACCAAACACTAAAATCAATCCATGAGATGCAATTATTCATCCAATTACACTGCTAAATTCAATTTTTTGGTGAATTAGAACTAAAACAAGAAACCAATCAAGACCCTTTTAACATCAAGAGAAGAAACAGATAAATACCATTGCTTTCGCCGTCCTTTTGATTGGAAGGGTCTCTTCTGGAGCAGAAGATGTTGAGGGCAGACTTAGAATAAGAAGAGATAAATTTGTCCGTCTTCAGACAGAATCTCGGACATATTAAGCCGCCGATTCGAGCTTGAATATTCATCTCAAGATTCCAGAGCTCCTTCGATCTCATCACCAACGAAAACAATCATTGGTTCCTGTATCTTATCCATCTGCGTCATTCTGCTACCGCCCATTCCCACAGCTCAGCTTTACACGTGTCGCCTCCTCAAGAACTCACGAGGCGGACCCTGTATTATAATGAAAAGGTACAGTCACAGA